TGCTACAATATTGTGCTTGACGCATGTGCACTGTTATAAACAACTTGTAAGATTTACTTGAGAAAATCCTGTAAATGATTTATACTTACTTTTGTTAAGTAAATTTACATGCTACAAATTCATGTAATATTTGCTCATCATTATCTAGTAAAAGTTATTAAGAATATAGTTAAAGATTTGTGAATAAATCAGGTAAATTTTACTTAATTTGATCAAGTAAATGTTACAAGATTTAACTGAGAAAATTAAGTAAAATTTACCTGATTTATTCACAAATCTTTAACTATATTCTTAATAACTTTTACGAGATAATGATGAGTAAATATTACATGAATTTGTAGCATTTAAATTTACTTAACAAACTTTAGTGCAAATTTGTTAGAGGATTTTTGTCAAGTACATTTTACAAGTTATTTTTTTCAATGTATCTAAGGTTTTCAAAAAAAGCTTGCATAGATATTAACCTTAACTTTATTACATTTTGATTACAGTCCTCTGGGCTTGTCAGTAAGTCAGACAAGTCTGCACATAAAAGCTGCAGAACCTGCTTGAATAAATAGTCTGTGTACAATTACGTACACACACACAGTATGTACAAATATGTACACACACAATATAAAGCTCTGTCAGAATATGAGATGAAGCCTTGAATGAGACTGCATTATGCTCCCTGTCTTCATGCCATATCCTCCTGTCATCTAAGAAAAATGGTATTGAATTGTTTCTAAAAGAACATTGTAAAACTGGGAAAGGAAAGTGATTGCAGACGGTTGTGAAGCTTGTATTTGTGCATCCATAGTGGTTGTCTTTCATTCTTCTCCACAGAGCTCCGGTCTTATTTCCTTGCTGGGAAACAATAAACGGCTCCAGCAACTCAGAGCAAAATGATGAATCCTATCTGAACCCAAACACACGCTCCCTCTCTGCCTAGACTGCAGCTGTCCAAGAATCCACAATGGTTTCATCAATAGCTTTGCTTTTTCACTGTTTCTGACAAAACAGTCTGCTAAAGCAGATGGTGACTTCAGCCCTGAAAAATGAATATTTCTGCTTCCTGTAAAATACAGATGTATGTGTTCGAGCTCAAGGTTTGGAAAATGTGGAGAGATTCTGCTACAGAAGTAGCATAACTACTGTCAGTAGAATTTATTTCAATTAATTAGTTTTTTTATTGTTTATAGACATTATAGTTAGATGTATTTAACCTCCACGTTAAAAATGTTACCAGGACCACCTTCTTCCACCTGTGTAATATCACTAAAATTAGAAACATCTTGTACAAAAATGATGCAGAAAGACTGATCCGTGCATTTATCACATCTAGGCTGGATTACTGTAATTCTTTATTATCTGCATGTCCATAAAACACTTTAAAGGGATCCATGATTAATTGTAACATTAGATTTTATTTGATAAACATTTATTTTAACTGTAAAATAAAGACTGTGAAAATACTGTAGGATGTTTAGTCTTATACATTTTTAAAATATATTTTAACACTGATGGAGCCATTTTATTTACACACAAAGCATTCTGGGTAAATGATGAC